CCGTAAGATGGACGGCAGCCGTAATATGGACGACAGCCGTAAGATGGACTGTAGCCGTAAGATGGACGGCAGCCGTAATATGGACGGCAGCCGTAATATGGACGGCAGCCGTAATATGGACGGCAGCCGTAATATGGACGGTGGCCGTAATACGGACGGTGGCCGTAATATGGACGACATTATCGCAGCTGCGCTGTTTACGCTTTAATTCGGAACCTTTTGAGCGGACATGAAATGTCACGCAATGGATCCGTTGGCCGCGCATATTTCGATCATAACTGCGATCTTCTCATCTCCCGCATTCTGGCATCTTTTATGTAAGGCAGTTTGCACGCACAGCCTGGCAAAGGGCGATGCTTTTACGACCTTTTCAACCCAACGCATTTATGTCGTGCTGTGATAATTTGTGATAATGATGACTTATTTTTTAATAATATTATAAATATCAGCAATATGATATCGATGATGTTTAACATTTCCTTGACATTAGCAATTAATGTTATTTAAAAGCAAATAATTTCTATTTAAAAGCCCTGAAATGTTGCAGAACGTAATTTCATCCAGTCCAGTTCCATCCAGCCAGAGTCCAGCTTTACAGTCCAGCAAATAACATCTAGTAATTTCCGAATATAATTTCAACACTTGTCTTTACAGATATAAATACTTTACAGATATAAATACTTGTTTCTTTCCATATCTTGTGGACAATCAAAAGTTAAACCCGAAATTCTCGGATCAGATTTTGAAACCTGAAATTACTGATATGAAACATAAGAAAAATAAATAATAGCGGACAAGGCAAACCAATCTATTTAAAATTTTTCTAGAAAAAAAACTCCATACAGCATACAAACTTGAATCACGTATAAAATTAAACAGAAATCGAAAATTCGCATGTCGGGAACACCGAAAAAAGCAGCAAAATTTTAAATTCTCTCGCTGATACAAGGGCGTTGCAGTGGTCGGATGAGGGAGAGGTGCTAGTAGGTTTCCAGTGCGATAACACCTTCCTTTGTGCTCCGCCAGTCTAATATAGAAACTGCGTGACGTCACACCGACGTACGCTAGTGCGCATTACTAATAACTAAGCAATAGTGCGCATGGTCAGCACCACAATTAGTGCGCATGATCAGCAGCACAAATAGTGCGCATGATCAGCACCACAATTAGTGCGCATGGTCAGCATCACAATTAGTGCGCATGGTCAGCATCACAAATAGTGCGCATGATCAGCAGCACAATTAGTGCGCATGATCAGCAGCACAATTAGTGCGCATGGTCAGCATCACAATTAGTGCGCAAGATCAGCAGCACAATTAGTGCGCATGATCAGCACCACAATTAGTGCGCAAGATCAGCAGCACAATTAGTGCGCATGATCAGCACCACAATTAGTGCGCAAGATCAGCAGCACAATTAGTGCGCCCTTTAAGGCGTCGCCACCTGCGCCTCGTTGACCTGCGCGCACCTGTGCGTGATAATACGCCACGTGGTTGCGTATATATCGCTCTCTTATATAGTGCGTGTGTTACGCATACGTGGGTAATACGCCGTTGTTATTATAACTTCTATGCGTATCATTGAGAAAAGATACGTAATGAAGTAAATAATGAGAAATAATACGCTGGTTTTATACGTTTCATTCAGAAAAAAATACGCTGTGAATAATAACAAGTAATACGCCGGTGCGCGAGTAAAATTCATTTGTTAATACTCAAATGATACGCGCGTTGGTGCGGCTAATACGCTAATAGTGACGCATCTACAGGCCCGTTAATGCGTAATGAATATTGAACGCACGCACGAGACGCACATCACAATAAGCTGAGTATGGTGAGTAATAGTGAGGGTTTGTGTGTTGATGAATGTGTGTGAATGTGATGTGTAGTGTCACCATCACGACACAAGACAGACGTCACCATCACGCAACAAGACGTCACCATCACGCAACAAGACAGACGTCACCATCACGCAACAAGACAGACGTCACCATCACGCAACAAGACGTCACCATCACGCAACAAGACGTCACCATCACGCCACAAGACAGACGTCACCATCACGCAACAAGACGTCACCATCACGCAACAAGACGTCACCATCACGCAACAAGACGTCACCATCACGCCACAAGGCAGACGTCACCGTCACGCCACAAGACAGACGTCACCATCACGCCACAAGACAGACGTCACCATCACGCTACAAGACAGACGTCACCATCACGCCACAAGACAGACGTCACCATCACACCACAAGACAAACGTCACCATCACGCCACAAGACAGACGTCACCATCACGCCACAAGACAGACGTCACCATCACG